CAGGATCAGAATGGCGAGGAAGTCTCAATCGAAACGCCCAGCCCGCCCTGCCGACACACCTGCGGGTGCGACAAGGAGGAGTAATGTGTAAGGGGTGATGGAGCAGGAGAATTGACAGAATCGGGCCCGAGAGGCCATCCGATTTCGGACTGTGGGGGCCCGTTTGGGGCTACAGGCCCGTCAAAAGTCGGTCCAGGATGAAAACTTGCCAGGATGGACGGGGGATGGTACGCACGGGGACTGGCTTTGAGCGGATGTTCATGGGGAATGGAGAGGAGGGAGAGAGAAGAGGAAGCGGAGGAGAGTTGGAAAAAGGGAGGACGAGGAGGAGCGGGGGAGGAGGAGGAGGAAGCATCATGAGTCATGACGCTATGAATTGGCCTGGGTCCGAAGCCCCAGGTCCGGAAAGTGAAGCAGACAGCAGAGAAGGGCCCGCGAGCGACCGAGGGGACACGCGCGAGCGACAGGAGAGGGCCAAAGGAATGACCGCAACGCAAAACACGGGGGGCCTGAAAGAACTGAACGAGAAAATATTGGCGACTGGTCCCCAACGTGCGCGCATCGCGGGAATCGCAGGAGGACGAAGCCAAGATCCGACGTTGCGACAAAAAAATGCATCGCGAAAATCACAACCGGATCACTAGACCTCATCTTCCTGCGGAATTTGTCTCGAGCCGATCGATCTGAGATGGTCCCAGGGCCCGAAACCAGGCGAAAACAACAGGTGTGAACAAAAATGCAAAGCCCGGCTCTGAGGGAAGGAGGACAGCGAGGAGGAGGAGGAGGAGGAGAATGACGACGATGACTAGTGTAAACCCAAAACCTCATGTGGACTCTCTGGGGAGCTTCGGACTGACCGTCGCGACCTTCGAAAACTACCATTTCGTGGCACTTAGTGGCCGCTAGCGGCCCGTAGCGGACGTTGAGTGGTACTTAATGGCACAAAGCGGCCGCTAGTGGCTCCGAGACTTACCATTTAGTGGCACTTAGTGCCTCCGATAATTACCATTTAGTTGCACTTAGTGGCCGCTAAGTGACTCCGAGAATTACCATTCAGTGGCAATTAGTGGCCGTTAGTGGCTCTGGGGCCAAAATGCAATCTAATGTAACTTGGTGGCCCGAGAATTGACATTCAGTTGCACTCAGTGGCCGCTAGCGGCGCCGAGAATTACCATCCAGTGGCACTCAGTGGCTGCTGGTGGCTCCGAGAATCTTAGCTGTTGCCGTTTGGCCCCCTCTGGGCAACGGGCATGTCAAGCAGGGCTCGGGGTCGCCGACCTCTGCGAAGCCACGGGCCACGGGCGCGCGGGCGAAACCGCCCGCCCCGTCGGGGCCACAGAAGCACGCGTCGCTGAGCGCCGCTATCCTTGTGATATTCCAACCTACTTTAGCCTCGATCACCAGAAAGAAGTTCGAGCACCAGAAAATTACCCCCAAACTCGAGGGTTTTCACGTGTCGGGTCCTGGGAGACACTCGTCCGACACTGTTTCGACACTCTTTCGACACTCTTTCGACACTCTTTCGACACTTTTCAGGGTGCTCGAAATTATTTTTGGGATGTGGTCCTTAAGTATGATGGGAACAACATAACGCTATCCTAAGAAAAACCCAATTCGAAGACATTGTACAATTTCCCAGGTTGGCCACACAATAGACCCATCAACGATGTTAGAATACACCCTCCCTCCAAGCCCCTTCTTCCTGGGCCCCTACAAAGATTCATTCCCACTGAGAGAAGTGCCCCGTTGGGTGACAGCCGCTTCAAGATCCAGACGCGTGCCGAATCACCATCCCGGGATCCGACGATCCTGAATCGCGTCTGAACACCATTCCGGACTTCAACACCGCGAATCAACGTCACTGTTACGCCCTGACAATCCTGAACCGATCCAAATCACCATTTATGTTACGCTGGCCATGGGAATCCGTGAAACTCTTGCAACTGTTATCAACGAATGTGCGCGGCGCTCACGCGAGAGCCCCGCTTCGAAAAGGAGCCGCCCTCAATTCTTGAAACGCTTGCATTGTTTAACGAATGTGCGCGGCGCTGAGGCAGGAGCCACATTTGGAAAACGGCCCGCCCTCGATCCGTGACACTTAGAGCGCGTTTCTTCATGTTCGAAGACAATGGGTGCTATTACGGGGGGGGGGGTGCGAGGGAGGTAGAACGGAACGCCCCCCTCCCCGCCGTGTGGCTCCGGCACCACAGGAGCCTGTTTTTTGTTTTCCGGGATAGCGGCCGTCATCGGCCCCGTCCTCCCCCCCCGACGACGTCACGTTCCACGCCGGCGGCGTCCAGGAATGCCTAGGGATGACCACGGCCAAGTAGGGGCAACATGTAAGTGGCGATCTGCCCCACAACGCTTGTATACACCACAGTGCTCGCGTGCACCACAGCGCGCATGTATACCACAGCGCCTGCGTACACCGCAACAGCCGTGTGCAAAGCAGCGCCGATGTACACCACAGTGCTTGCGTGCACCTCAGCGCCGGTGTGCACCACAGCGAATGTGTACACCGCAGCAACCATGTGCAACACAGCGCCTGTGTACACCACAATGCTTGCGTGCAACGCTTCCCCTATGCACACCACAGCGCCTGTCTACAGCACAGCACCCGCGTGCAACGCGGCGCTGGTGTACACCACAGCGCCCGCGTGCACAGGACGGGTAGCAGGAGCACGTAAGTGAGGATCTGCTGCGGACAGCTAAACAACACGCCAGGGAAGTGTTCATAATAGAATGGGACGTATTTCCCTCCTCCCTCCTCCTCCACCTCCACCCCCACATCCACCTCCTCCTCCTCCTCCGCCTCCCTCTCCTCCCTCCGCTCCTCCTCCTCCTCCTGCCTCCTGCTCCTCCCTCCTCCTCCTCCTCCTCCTCCTCCTCCTCCTCCTCCTGCTCCTCCTGCTCCTGCTCCTGCTCCTGCTCCTCCTCCTCCTCCTCCTCCTCCTCCTCCTCCTCCTCCTCCTCCTCCTCCCTCACCCTTCCCCCTGTCGTGCGGGTCGGCGCTACAGCGCACGTGCGCACCTCAGCGCGCACCGCAGAATGCTCGATTGAATCAGCCAATTCGGTTCGCGGATGGTCAATTCTAATGGAGCCTCCTGAACGCATATGGGATTTCTTTCCAAATCCTATATAAGCAACTTATGTCTGTGGAATATGCAGGCGCTGAGGCACACCATTGGCGCTGTGTTGCACGCGGCTGCTGTGTTGTACACAGGCAGCGTGGTGTACACAGGCGCTGTGGTGCTGGTGCACGCAGGCACTGTGGTGTACACAGGCGCTGTGGTGCGGATCGCCACCTACATGCTGCTGCTGCTGCTGCTCGCCCTCGGTCATTCCTAAGCATTCCCAGACGCCGCCAACGCGAAACGTGACGTCCTCGGCCCCGTCCCCCTCCCCCCAAGATGACGACCGTCATCGGCCCAGCTTTTTGTTACAAAAAGCTCCAGCCGCGTCCGCGCGCACGCCAGGGACATCGCCGCTGTCAGGGCCGCTGCTGATGGCGCACATGCCGGCGTAGCCGTCTATGCTGTAGCTGGCGCCGTCGTCTGCGCTACAGTCGGCGCTGACGTCGGCGCCGCAGTCGAGGCTGCAGCGGGGACGTTCGTCGGTGCTGCAGTCGGCGTCGTCGTCAGGACTGCAATAGGCGCCGTCGTCGGCGCGTTTGTAGGGGCTGCAGCGGGAACCGTCGACTGCGCCGCCGTTGGCGTCGTTGTCGGTGCTGCCGTAGGCACCGGCGTCGGCGCAGCCGCCGTCGAGGCTGCCTTGTGAACGGACTTCGGCGCTGCAATTGGCGTCGTCGTCGGCGCTGCAGGCGTCACCGCCGTCGGCGCATCTGTCGGCGCACTTGTCGCCGCGGCTGTCGGCGCCACTGTCGGGGCCGCTGCCGGCGGGGCGGGCCCGCGGCCGGAGCTGCCGTCGGCGCCGCCATTGGCGACGCTGCCGTAGATCGACGCAGGCGATGGTGCCAGCGCAGGCGTCGGCGCTGGCGTTGGTGCCGCCGTCGCAGGCGCGGGCGATGGTGCCGGCGTAGGTGCCGCAGTTGGTGCTACGCTGGCGCTGGTGCCAGCGCGGGCGCAGGCGATGGTGCTGGCGCCCTCCGCCTCCCCGGCCTACTCGTCCTCTCCTGGCGTCTTCGCCCCCCCCTCCTCCTCCGTCTCCGCCTCGGCCTTCTCCTCCTCATCCCCCTCGGCCTCCTCGCCCTCCTCAGCCTCGGCACAACGGTCGGGGGCCCTGCCGGCACCGCTGCTGGCGCGGCCACCTTGGCGGCGAGCCGCACAGCCCGGCGACGCGACGCCGACGTCCTTGACCTTGTTCTGCTGCCCCACCTTCGCAACAAGCGCGATCAGGCCACCCCTCAGCGATCCCCCGATCGGGAGGCCCTGGGCCAAGTTCAGCGGGTGAAGGTCGCCGCCGTGCCGCCGCTGACGACCGCGGGCGTTTCTGGCATTCGGGTCGCACCAATCGCTCAGGGAGCTGATCGCCGGCACCTCCGCGCCCACCTCGGCGCCGCCCGCGGCGGCTTGCTCCTGCGGCGCCAAGCGGCGCCTCCTCGTCTCCGCCAGCCCCCTGGGGGCTCCGCAGCCAGACGCCCTGCCGTCGAGCCTGGCCTCGATCTCAGCCGCGCGCTCGCCCGCAGCGCGCCGCGGATGCTGGCCGCCAGTTTCGGTGCCACAGTCGGGGCAACAGTCGGGGCAGCTGATGGCGAGGCTGCCGGCGCCGCCGTCGGCGCGGTTGTCGGCGCCGCGGTCGGCGTCGCTGTCCGCGCGGCTGTCGCCGAGGCCTCCGCTGCCGCAGTCGGCGCGGCTGTCGACGCCAGTCGGCGCAGATGTCATCGATGTTTTCGGCGAGGTCGTCGGCGCCGCAGTCAACGCTGTCGGCGCGGCTCTCGATCGACGCCGCAATCGGCGCCCCCATCGCCCAGGGGCGCCCCGGCCTTGACGCCGGCCTCGGGCTCGTCAAGGGCGTTCTCACAAGTATACCACCAAGCGCGCGAGGCAGCGCGGCGTGGACGCGATGCAGTTCGGCGCGGCTCCGATGCAGTTATGGGCGATCGCCCCCTTGCCGCGCCACCGGGAGGCCTCGCCCACCACGCCCGGCTCGCGCAAATAATCAAATAGTCCTCGGGCAGCCTCTCCGCGCCCCGCCTCCGGAAGTAAAGGCGATTCGGGGGGGCTCGGCCTGCGCGGCGCACGTCCAAGGCGACGAGCTCGCCCATCACGTCGGCGCGCTCGTCGTCCCGGAACGAGGTGGAGGAAGAGGAGAACCGCCCCGAGCTCTCCTCGGCATCGCCGAAGAAATGCCCAGGCAGCGTCGCCCCCGCCTCGGCGCGGCCCCGCTCGAGGTCGAGCGCCCTGATATCTCCGACCTGGAGTCCCATAGCGCCAGACCAGCGCGGGGGTAACCTGGTCTGGCCTCACGTCGCCCCTGAGAAGCCAGTGCAACGTGCATTCGTGCAGCACTTGCTCCATGCCGACGCGCGTGAGTGGCCGCGTCGCAGGCTTCCGCTGTGCCTCACATACACCCTCGAGCAGCGCGGCATCGAGGTCGGGGCTGGGCTCCCTGGGCAGGTCGGCGCCACGATCGGCGCAACTGTCGAGGAAGCGGTCGGCGCCGTCGCCGGTGCAGCAGTCGGGCAGGCGGCAGATGTCGGCGCCGCTGTCAGCAAGGCCTTCGGCGCGGATGTTGGTGCCGAAGTCCTCCTCGGTCCTCAACCTCTGCCTCCTCGCCTTCCTGATACTCCTCCCCTCTGCTCTGTCATCGCGCTGAAGTCCCTGCCGTCGCGGTCCCTGGTGCGCTGGAGGTCCCAATCGTCGCGATCCCCCCCAACCATGCGCCAGGTCGCGCGCGTGCACCTGCCCCCACCCCTCGTCGCACTCGCCCGGGGAATCCGCGAGGTCGGCCCACGCCACTCTCAAGACGGCCTCTGGAGCGCCGTCCACGTCTTCGACGACGACCGCGCGGGTCTCGTCGGCCTCCGCTACGGTGAGGATGGCCGCGAAGGCATCGTCGTCAGGCTCAGGGCCCTCCCTGGCCGTCGGGATCCTTGTCGCAGCGGGGGCTCCTCTCCCGCAAAACGCCGGGCCCTCCGCCCGCGCCCGGGGCCGACGCGGCCCACGGAGGTGCGCGCACGTCCGGCGGCACCAGCGCCGATGCCTCGGATTCCTGCCCTGGCCCCGCCCGCTTCGGCCTGGGCCCCGCTCTCGGCGTGGGCGGCCACAGCGCGTCGCCGTCTTACGCGTGGCAAGTAAAGCCCGCCGCTGGAGGTCGACTTCGACTCCCGCCTCCCCGCGGAGCGGGCTGGCCGCCACGGGCCTCTGACCTGTCCCGCTCGTCGGCGCGCCCCACGGCTTCCGTGGGCGAGATCGCCAGAGCAGGCTCCACGAGGGCGCCCGCCCGGACCGGCCATGGCTGGCGGCGGGTCCAGAGCCGAGGGCCCTTGGATGTCTTCATCCAGGCACGCTTGTGCCTCCTCCTCCTCCTCCTCCTCCTCCTCCTCCTCCTCCTCCTGCTCTTCCTCCTCCTCCTCCACGGCGCCACCGGGGGGTGGGAGGCCTCGCCATGCCGCCCAGAGCTCGTGTCGGCGCCCTCCTCGCTCCCGTGGCCGCAGCCCGACTCCCGAACCGCAACCGCGCCGGGAGAAGGTCCGCATCCTCTCCCCCCTCCTCCTCTTCCCCCCGATCGCCAAAGGGTTCCTGGCCCGCTCCTCTATAGGAGCACCGAAGGCAGGGCCTCCCGGCAGGCATTGGGAACGCCGGCTGCGGCGCTGTCTGCCGCTGGCCCTCGGGCACGCCCAGCAGCGCCACCGTCCTCGAAGTGGCTGTCCGAAGTGGGCATCCTCTTCCTCCTCCCTCCAGCTCCTCCAGCTCCTCCGCTGCATCCTCGTGCCTCCTAGTGCGGCGCAGCTCCATCGGAGCCCTGGCGCTCACCGCGCCCAGGGTTCCAGCCGTTGAAGTTACCGTCGCACTGGAGGTCTCGGTCGCGTGGTCTCTGTCGCGGCTGTGATTCCCGTCGTGGTCCTCGTTGCGCTGCATGTCGCGGTCGCCGTGGTCGGTGCTAAGGATCTCTCTGTGAGGCGTCACCTCGACCACCTCGGTCGCTGCGGCACCCGATCGTCTGCCGCACGAAACTAGCCAGCTATCTGCAACGAACCCGCGCGCCTCCCGGACCAGCCTGGCGGCCCCCTCGTCCTCGGCTGCCCCTTCGAGCCGCATGGAATCCGAGGGCTCGAGCGCCCACCCCGCCAGATCCAGCAACGGACGCGCGTCGACGTCCCAGTGCCGCGCCCGAAGGGTCACCTCGGCCAGGCGGGCCTCCGCGCAGGCCCGAATCCAGCGAGCTGTCTCCGCCGGGCCGGAGCACATCATCCCCCGGGGGATGATGTGCTCCGGCCAGCAACGCTTTGCCTAGATGCAACTGAAGGTCAATCAACACAAGACTTTCCCATACAAACCTTGCATTTCCCAACACACATGGGATATGGTATGTATACGCTCTCATTCGAAGAACTATATCAGACCTCGGGGCCCCCTCTTCTGGTGCCGGCAGCGCGACCCCGCGCACCGGCGCTCGCCCGCCGGCACCAGCGCTCCTCCCGCGCCAGCGCGCGCCCGTGGGGGCTGCAGTGAAGGGACCCTGGGACACACAAACAAATACACACAAATAAAAAGATTCCCCACACTTTCCAATATTTTCTGGGTTCTTGTCTTCCCCCCCCACTTCTCATATTTCCCCATATTTTCCTGGGAGTCGACGATTAACTGTGTCTGTGTGCTTTTTTTCCCCTCCTGATGCAGGTGCTGCCGAGGCTCCTCCGCGCAGGCCTGCCCCCCGCCGGGGCCGGCCGCCCCTCCGGCGGCCTGGCTCCTCCCTAAGGAGCCGCCGCCACTCCAGCGGCCCGCTCCTCCCGGGAGCCGCCGCCGCGCCGTGGACGGGGCCCCGGCAGCCGAGTCTGGCCCCTTGGACTGGCTGCCGGGGGCCTGGGGCGCGGCGAGTGATCTGGCCCCGCCCGCCCACCCCGGAAGGCGCAGGGTTTCGCGAGGACCCCCAAAAAACGCCGAACTGGCTGGAGCCAACACGACGACGGAAAAGAGGGGGAGAGACGGCAGGCAGCAGGCGCATGGAGAGGGCCAAGCAGGGAAGCGGAATCGAGGAGAGGCTACGATAACAGATGAAACCTGCTGGTATAACTAACCACTAACAACAGCATCAACAGTAGCATCAGCATCATCAGCATCATCAGCATCAGCATCAGCATCAGCATCATCATCATCATCATCATCATCATCATCATCATCATCATCATCATCATCATCATCATCAGCATCAGCATCATCATCATCATCATCATCATCAGCATCATCATCATCATCAAGCATCATCATCATCATCGTCATCATCATCATCATCATCATCAGTTTCATCATCAGTTTCATCATCATCATCACCATCAGCAGCAGCAGCATCAGAATCACCATCATCATCATCATCATCAGCATCATCACCACCCTCATCTTCATCATCTGCATCTGCATCTGCATCAGCAGCAGCAGCATCAGCATCAGCATCATCTTCATCATCATCAGCATCAACATTATCAGCGGCATCATCATACTTTGCGGCATCAACATCATCATCATCGGCCTCCTCCTCCTCCTCCTGCTCCTCGTCCTCCGCCTCCTCCTCCTCCTCGTCATCCTTATGTTTCTGTTCCTCCTCATCCTCCTCTTCGTTCTCCTCGTCCTCCTCCTCCTCCACCTGATCCTCCTCTTTCTCCTACTCATCCTACCATCATCCTCATACTCAGCATCTTGATCCTTCTGAACGCACGCATTTGTTCCATACTCATGCCTCTCGTAAAGCCTCCCATCAGAACACGCGCACCAAATCCCAAATCTCAGAAGGCTCCTGCCACGTCCATCGCCGCGTCGGCCGCTTTCCCGACGTGGTGCTTCGCAGCGTCATGCAAGTCTTCTGCGGAGGAGGCGGCCACTGGAGGTGATTACGCAGATGAATGTCACAGGCACGCGCGCACATCCACTGTTCGCTCTCCGCCTTGCTCCCTCAGCATCCTCGTCGTCATCCTGTACATTATCGCCACCACCCCCGGCTTCTCCTCTTCCCCCTCCACTCTCGTCGCACACGTCCACCACGTGATAGCCCTCATCCCACTAAGTCCCGACGACCGCTGAAACGAGCGAAAGATGAACAGCGTGCTCGCAAACATGGATCGGAGAGACGTAGGACTCGAAATTGAAGGACTTGCGTCGGCCTGACGGAGCCGTCAGATAACTGACGAGACCCAGTCTGAAATTTGATGCGAGCTCCCGCTGCACACGTGCAACGAAACTGGGCCGTCAAAATCAAAAACGGGCCCGTCAAAAAGCAACGGCAAACCCGAAGTCAGGAGAACCCGAGTCTTTCTTGGCGGCGCGCACAAGGCGCTAAGGGGGGGATGGCTTCTTAGAAGCAGGGGTGCTTCTGGGCATGGCCGACTTTCGTTTCCCTGAGTGGAGCACAGATCCGCCCTGCCCTTCTCCGAGGAGCTGCACGACGGTCTGTCATAGAATCCACCCGCCGTCTGGCCCGCAGAACTGGAGCGAGCTCCAGACAATCTTGAACCGATCCCTATCCCCACTGGCGTGGCCTGGGCCCCACTGGCCGATTTACCACTCTAGATGGATACAGGCTGCTCCCTTCGGGTTTCGAGGACCGTATAACTACCCCAGCTAGGGTGGCGGGATGGTGGGGCTCGGGATGGGGATGGGCATGGGGATAAAGGTCGGTGAAACGATACTGAACTTCCCCTCGCTTTCCGGCAAATTGGTTTGGATTGGGTTAGACGCCTGGGGGCTGCCCAGGGCAGTCGGAGACACCTGCGGCCGGCTACTGGCGCCTGCGTTGTCAGCCGGCGGGGCGGTGGGCTTCACGGCTCTGTCACCGGCTTCCTCTCGGCAATCGCCAAAGCACCTCTTCTGGAAAACGTTTTTTTATGTTTCGCGATAGCGGTCGTTACCGGCCGCGGCCGCCCCCCTCACCCAGGAGAACGTCACGATTCGTGCTGACCTGCGAGTTGGCTTTTTGGTTATATTCCCAGACGACGCTGGCGCAAAACGCGACAACACAGGCCCCCCACCCCCACCACCCCCCCGGTAATGCCCCGTGTCGACTGGGGGAAATTCTCGTAAGGGCTTCGACCGTGTGGCGCACCTGCAGCAGGCCCACATAGGCGGCATATATCTTCTGGCCCCCGGTCGGCAACCTCCTCAGGCGTACGCGTGGAGAAGGACAGGAGAGGAGTCAATGCCACAAACACATCTCGGATGCCCTTCCACTCATCACAAGGGATTCGGAAGGTCTTGTCAGACACCAGTCACTCACTTTCTCTTGATGCCTCGGGACCCCCGCCAACCCCGACCAACTCGGAATCGGCAGGAGGGTTGTGGGGAGCGGGTTCTGGGCTGGCCCCCTGTTCGGATTGCAACAGCCCGAACTGTGATATGTATACTGGCCTGGCCTTTAGGATGGGCCGGCCGGGAGGCTGCGGGGCAAGACAGGAGGGAGCGAGGAAGGCGATGCCAACGGCACAGCAGCATTGCCCCCAACTCACACTTCGCCCTCCTTCTCGACGTGTGCCTCTGGTACTTCTCGGGCGGACTGCTTCCTGGCAACGCCTCGGCCGCCGCTCTCGGGAACACGAGTCTGGCTGC